GCTGGGCAGCAGCCCAGACGCGACTGGCCAGGGGCTGGGCGCAGCGTGCGCGCTGCCTGGGTCCCCGCAGCAGGCCCCGGCTTGGGGGATTCGGGGGCGCCAGAGCTGCAGCCGCGGAGCGCCATGGCCGCTTCCTGCCCCCGCGGCAGTGGGAGCTGCAGCAGCGGTTGCTCCCGAGTCCCGCTGGCCGGGGGTGAGAACAGCCGCCGCCTGGCCCCGCGGGCCGCCCCCCTCCTCGCCCTACCACCCAACTGAGTCCTGCCTGCTCGGGGCCAGGCCGGACTCTCACTCACCCCGGCCCCGCGCTTCCCCTGCGTCTCCCGGGCCTCCCTCCAGCGCTTGCGGAGGGAGGGTTTTTTTTGTTTCCTGTCTTTTACTCAATTACTAATCCATGGGAGGACCTTCCCTTTTATCTCATGACTGTTTACTTTGCTTATGAGCATTTGGTGAGGGTCCTTGTCAAAAGCTTTCTGGAAGTCTAAGAACACTATATCCACTGGATCGCCCTTGTCCACATGCTTGTTGAACCCCCTCAAAGAATTCTAATAGATTGATGAAGCATAATTTCCTTTTACAAAAGCCATGTTGACTCTTCCCCATTGTGTTCATCTATGCATCTGGTAGTTCTGTTCTTTACTTATGATAGTTTCCACCAATTTGCTCATAATGAAATTGTCATACTGCCCTCTAATTGCCAGGATCACCTCTGGAGCCTTTTTTAAAAATAGGAGAAGCTTACGTTGAAGAAAGTGTGCACTCTCACCAGGGGAATGTTCATTCTGCCCAGGTTAAAATATTGTGAAAAGAATGTGCCTTGACAATGTTGAGTTTTAAAGCAGTTGTTTTAAATAAAAATAAAGATAGGCTAATTGGTTCAAATTTTTCTCATCAAGCCAATGCATGGCAGTTTGACCTCATGTTATTGGTGATGCCCCAAATAAACTAATTACCTCTTCATCCCAGCAATTACTATATCTTCTGCCCCACGGGGAATAGTGATGTAGAAATGTGGGTATACAGTACCCATGAGCATGATCAAGGGGATGAGGTGATGGCAGCGTCAGCTCGACTTTTGATGAGAAGAGGACTGGTAAATGTGGTGGGAGATTTGAAGGAAAGACATAGTGAAGTGGAGGTGATGATGTAATTAACATGAATATAGCAGAGCATGCTATCTTGGAGATTTGGAAGTAGATGTAGTCCTGAAAATAGAGAATGAGAAGGAAAGATGCTGCCTTACAGAAGTAGAGGTTTAGGTTTAAGGGATAATAAGACAGAGAGATAGCAGGTACCCTGCAAAAAAGATTATGCACACAAGAAGCAGAGAAATAGAAGAGGAGTAATATGCAGAAAAATATTACAAATATTCATTCACAACCCCTTTGAATAGACTTTCATTCTAACCAGATTGTGTTCATAAGAATGTCCAATGAAAGGGAAAGCGTTGTGAATCCTGGTACAAATGTGCAAGTACACAAGTATTGATGATATATATATAACACAAGTTAGAGAAGCCAGCTTGACAGCTCTTTGTGGATTTGGAATTGATGGGATCTAAAACATAAATAATAGCATATGACTTAGGTGACTATTCATAGAATACACATAGTGAATTGGGAGCAGTGAATATGTTCAAGTAAAGAACATGATCCATCAAAACCAGGAAATCAAAAATTAAGGCAGAAACTTGGTTTCAAGCCCATTTTACTGAAAGTAGGGATCAAAGGGATTTCTACACAATAGGTGATTTTACATATTGTAGGTCAAATTCTGTTTGCTATATATATTATATAACACGTTGTAACAGATGTTCTTACATAGTTAGTCACTTGACTAAACTAGAATAATATTTGGTTAGCCGTCCTTTGTTCCCACAGTGCCTCCTTTCCCTGGGCTTGCTGAGGCCACATGACTTTTATGGCATGGCTGACACTGACCTTTAGCTCCTAGACATGTTGAAGGTGGGATTCCAAATCATGGGAAGGATGAGGGAATGGACTCTGCCATGGAGGAAAATCTTGTTTGTTGATTGGCCCGTGTAGACAGCATTACAGAAATGCAGTCCAGAGGTGACAAAGGCAATAATAACTGTAACAAGTTTCCTACTTTGAGGTAAAATTTGCAATCTTTGTGCTAGTCATAGATGACTAAAAAGTGCTCTTGGCTACAGCTGCACCATGACCATCTGGGTATTCAAGAAGCTTATAGATTGCAACCAATGCTAAGAAAATGTAAAGAAACTGCACCTAATGAGGGGCCAGATATCCGTTTCACCATCTCAGCTAGCTGTTATACACAGCCTACTAGCATCACCTTCATCTTGTCTGAACTGAACTTCAGCCAGCTAGTCCTAATCCAGGCCCCAATCTTGGCTAAACATTGGAGTGCTGAGCGACTGCCCTGGCTGAATCCAATGAAAAACAGATGTAGAGCTGAGTGTCATCAACATATCAATGACAATGCAGCCCAGATCAGCTCAGTATCTCCTCTAGTGGCCTCAAATACAAACCGAAAAGGTAGGGTGACAGAATGGAATATTGGCAGAAACTCACATGAGAGAACCCTTGGGGCAGAAGAGCAATCATTCAGCACTATACCATCTGGGTCCTCTCAAAAGGAAGGAATGGAGCAATTAAAGCACCACTTCATCTATCCTTGTCAGTGTCCACAACTGTGCCAACAAAACCTCATGGTCAATGGATCGAAAAGCAGGTGGTAAATGTGAAAGTGTCAGTATGTGCACTTGGTCTTTCTCAATTGCCAGGAGGAGATAATTAATGAAAGAGGCAAGGGCTGTCTGTACCTAGCTAGGCCTAAAATCAAACTGATAGTGGTCCAGAGAATTTAAGTATTACGCAGATTGCCAAGAATTGCTTCATCACAAGCTCCTCAATAACAATGAAAGTGGGTGGCAGGGAAACAATTACATTAGCTAATAATTAGCATGAGTTAATTCTGTGGAAAGTGATAAATTAATTATACACCTCAGAGCATTATGTCACACCTCTGAGAAATGCACTAGCACGGATCCTTGTCTTTCTTTAAAGGCATGCTTCTGGGAAACTGGCTGTGACAGAAAGGAGAGGCTATGTACTATCTAAGAATCTGGACATGCAATAATGCTCTGAATATTATATGCAGTGTTGTTGTAGCCATGTCAGCCCCAGGCTCTTAGAGATGAGATGGGTGAGGTAATATCTTTTATTGGATAAACTCCTCTCTCAGCTTGTGTCTCTCAGCAATAGAAGTTTGTCCAATAAAAGATATTACCTCATCCACCTTGTCTGTGTGAATATTATAAGTGACCTGGTCACTGAGGTAAAGTTAATGTTTAGCTATTGTGGTTTATTAGCATTTCCCATATGAATGTATCTAACTTAATGGGGGTGGGGTGGAGGCTGTGGGAAGAACAAACAGGAAAGGAACACCATGGTTCTCTAGGTAAGCAACCTCAAACAAATGCTTGGAAGACAACGGGTCCAGTTATTAGCTTCAAGGTTCCTGTAGCCAACAAATTGCAAGTGTTGTTTTGCCAGAGCTGGGAGGCTGGAGATCAAAAGAACGTTAAAAAAAGAGTTAAAAAAAACGTTCTCAAGGGAAGAACGGGATGGGTCACTTGCCAGAAGCTGTCCAGGGAGACAGGTTGACAGATAGGGAGAGGCTCTGCTGAGTGAGTTGCCTTAGGGAAAAACAAGCATTGGTATGGGCTGGTTTATTGTCTTAAATCTGTTAACTCTGAAATGCTTTTCATCTGATACATAATACTTGGCTTGAAGGAGGCTGTCTGATTACAGGTTACTGCTGCCATTGCTCCGAGAGAAGGGAATAGAACTGCATGGGCTGAGCCTAAGCCAGACTTTTTGAGGTAAATCACAGTTGGTACACAGGGCACTGAAAGTACCAAGATTATTTTACTTAATAGTTATATGACAAAAATATACAATAAGAGGGAATGAATATTCACTCTGCCTGACACTGAAGTAGAAAGTGAAAAAAAGCTTTTGCTCTGAAGTGAAGATACTTTTATCAGACTGCCTTATATAATGGAATAAATGAAGACACTTATAGGTGAAGGAAACACATAAGCACTTAAGCGCACTTCAGTTTGAATGATCTCATGACAAACATCACAAGAGGCACACAAATACATCGCCGAGCAGTCACTTTACATAGGGAGGCTTGAGTAGCAATGTTTCTTAAAAGAAAATGAATTTCTGGACAGGGAGTTTAAGTTATGCTCAAGGTTTAATAATTTTAGGAGACTGTAGATCACAGCCACCTGTTCAAAACTGAAACACACCCCTCCTGTTTCTGAATTAACTAACTCGTACACCCCATTAGCCTGCTCATCATGTTATTCATAAACCATTAGCTCTGCACTGTGCTATCATGTTTATTTTAAAGTCTGGAATGCATCAGGTATTTAGTTTCTTCTTATTTGCTCATCAGCAGAAACGAGAAATAAAAATGTATATTGTGTATAAGTGCTTTAGCTGAACTACTTGGATCTACAAATGAACATGATGAAAAGGAGAGTTTGTGCCTTAGGTTTAATAACCTAATAACACTCTAATTTGCTTTCCATGGGAAATGGTGACTTGAGTAGCTTCCCTTTGAGAGGGCCATCCTAGTGCTGGAATGAATTTCAGAAGAATTCTCTCCAGGGGGATTATGAGGAAGATGCCATTTTAAGGGAGAATATTCTCTATAGATTTAATCCTATTGGAAGTTTTCAGTGATTGCTCAATGACAGCTAGTCTTACTTAATTAAAATAGGCTGGGACATTCCTTTCTGAGGAAAGGGCTGTGTGTTTGGATCTCCTCATACCTGCACAAAGTGGTGGGATGGGAAATAAGCCACTATCACTCCCAGTCTCTTGGATCTTGTGGGCATCTCTTCTTGAGGTTAGTGCACTGTGCTGGGGTAGGGAGAAGGTGGGTTAATGTGTTACAATCCTATGTGAGGGAAAGAAAAACAGTCCTTTATTGTAAGGATGACCCTTATTTTAATAAAAGAATTGGCTGTCCCATACTAAATCATTCTATCAACCATGGGGGTCACCCCTTGCAACCCCATCATTGGAAACTCACCACCCCTCAATTTGGCCTGGCTGACCATCTGCAGGTGGCTAGGCCAAATCTGAATGAGACCAGCAGTTCTTCAGGTGTGCTGATAAATAGCCAGAGGTTAGAGGACCATGCAGGGAAATTGGGGTCTCTGGCTGGGTGATTTGCAGGGGCAAAGATGGGGAGTCCAATTCCTGCTCCCCTCAGCACTGCAGCTGTGCTGCACAGTGGGCTAGGCCCCTTGCGATGCCTCAGTAATTGCCAGGCTGTGTCCATGGGTTCCATTGGGGTGGTCCAGTGCTGGGCACAGGACGCAGAGCAGGAGTCTCAGAGCAGAAAGTGAAGCTTTTAGAGATGGGTCAGGAGCAGACCCAGGTGGAGAGCATCCACTGGGGACCATGCAGAAGGAAAGCGGAGATGCGGGTTCCTGGGGAAGCAGGATTCCCCAAGCACTGTAAACTGGAGAAGCACAGATGGGCTTGGGCTTGGGCTTATTTACCCTCCTCAGAAAGTAGCCAGGCTACCCTGAGGGGTGACCAGAGGGAGAGGAGTGCACAGGCTACTCGCTTTCAGGACCAGAATCGAGCAGCATCTGACATCACAAAGAGTGGAGGGTGACAAGAAGTTAATTGTGGGGAGCAGGTTTCCTCCCCTGTTTTAAAGTGATTCTTTCATTTTACTCTTTCCCATGTCCTCCAGGGCTGTGATAGTGAACAGAAAGCAAAGGTATGGGGGAGGGGGATGGCAGCACCTTATAGCAAGAGGAACTGTTTCCCCCTCACATATACAACAGTTTTCCCTGAATTCAAACCCTGATGACTACAGCAATGTCTCACATTATAGGTACTCTCACTACATCCATTCCCCCAACATGCTGAGCTTTTTTGTGTCCTACTTTGGAAGAAGGAAGTTGTTTGGCCAGAGCAATAATGTACATTAAGATGTTTCATGTTGAAGAAGTTGCTGTAGATGTTGTGCATCACCGCACCAAAGGTGTCTGATCTCACCAGGGCAGGGAGGGAGACTGACTTGACTGCTGTCATAGTGAGTTAATGGCAGAGTTGAGGAAAATCTAACTGCCCTCTTGCTTGGTGCAGGAGGTTCTCAATGCACAGTGTGCATCGTCCTCTCCTATACATTTAATCTTTCAGGTGGATGAGAACTGAGTAAAGTGTGGCCGTTATGGGATCTCCAAGGCACAGCACTTGCCCTGAGGAGTTCAGTGTGGCCTGTAGCCTCTGTCATCACCTAGAGGCCTACAGATGTCTCAAGTTTCATGAGTCACCATCCCTGAAGAAAAATCAGTAACTTTCCGCACGGTCAGCACGTGTGTGTGTGCGTGCGCGCATTAGGAAAACTGTCACTTATTTTTGCAATAAAATGTTGGCAACCCTCCTCCCTTCTGAGGGGAACTTCTGAGGCAGCTGCTGTGGGAGTCAGCCCTAGCAACTTGGCTCCAGTAGAGTCACCTAGCTAGAGAGCCAAAGAGGGGAGCAATTGCCCCCCGCATGAAGTGGTTCTGTCTTCCAGCAGATCCACTGAGGTCTGAGCACTTTCTGGAGGTCAAAACCCAAGCTGGTTCCATAGATGACACAGGGCTAGGTTTTTATATTTTGCAATTTGGGGAAAACTCTATGAGGGGAACCTCTACTTAAACGGTTTCTTCTTTTCTTCCCTATCTCTGTGTCCTCCTTTGTCTTTCACCCTAACTACTATCAAGGAATAACCCTCTGGTGTCTGCTTAAGTAACTCACCCAACAGCAGTCATGAAAGTCAAGTTAATTGTATGGTACACAATCATTGACTGTTAATGTCAGTTATTATGGGGAGGTAGTAGCTGCTGCTTATCTTTAAGGATGTAACTGAGTTTCCATTTTAAGCCTGAATTTTTCTCTTCTAGAATTTTCCTTCTCTTTAGCACCTACCTGCGTGTTGTTCCTGGGAAGTTTCCATATGATCCCATATAATAATAAATACAATTAATGTTACACAATATCATTCATGCACATACTGGGAAATGCTAAAAAATACCACAACCAGGAGTCAGCAGGTCAGTGCCGGTACTAAGAGGTGTGGAACTACATGATAGTGATAGGGTTTGAGCCCATGGTATCAGGAAGATTGTTCTCATACAGCCTACTCCTGCTCCCATTGAAGTTAATTGCAAAACTTTCACTGACATCAGTGGTGCAGAATCAGGGACATGCAGTGGCTGCAACCACAGCAAAAGGCTCAAACCCAAATTTCATTTGTTTCTGAACCAAAAAATGTATAAGGAATAATAAGCAAAGAAGTCAAACATTCAGGTCTTTCCTTTAGACATTACCTGTAAATAGACTTTGTTGTGCCATTGCTGTGCACCTGGAAAAGCTGCTTCTGGAAATTTTACTAGACTGGCTTGTAGAAAGGCAGAGTTTTTCATTAAAGACTTCACATCTAGTTGTAGGAATTTATCAGGATGGTTGTTGTTTGGCAAAACAGAGAAGTCCATGTTCCCCTCCTGTTGAGTAATAATGAAAACAGCCCAGTCTTCTGGTTCCTGGCTGCTGTGGGCTCCTTCTATTATTAATGAAGTGAAAAAGGATCCTATTGTTGCCTGAAACCGTAACTGATCCCTGCTTGGTGTCACGCTCACTTATATCATCTACCAATGATAAAAGATCGTTTAGAAGCAGCATAGCAGGCAAGACATGCTTCCTTAAGTGCCTAGCTTAAGTTTTCAAGTTTAAGGACCATTTTGATAGATGTATATGTGCTCATTAAAACTAACAGAGTATCAGTGACTAGATGCATGAGACACTTAAATACATATCAGCACTTCCTTAAGTGACTTGCCAAAGATCTCAGGCTCACAGTATTTCTTTCTCAGCTAATTAGAAGCAGTTCATACCACAACAGGAATGGTGCAAGTCCTTCTGCAATTATTCTCTGGGGATACTAACTCATTTGATTTTGTCACACAGTTCAGCACAGTAGTTTGATGTTATAACAGTAACATACACATTCTCAGATTAAAGGGATATTTCATCAGTAAGTTTTTCCTCAATATGGGGAATATTAGTTTATTTCATCTACTGTTAGGAGCTTGATCTTTCTTCAAATCAATGGAAAACTCTAATTCACTTGAATAGTATAAGATCAAGCCCTTAATTTTCATTACTGTATCTGTGATGCTTGTATTTTATTTCAGAGTTTGATACTTTATTTTAGTATTGCATATTTATAAAGTCACTTTGATTTTGACTGATGAAATTTCCTTCCTTCAGCCTAGCCAGTACAGGTAATAAAAAACACCAAGCTTTTACTCTTTGTTTCGATTCAAATCAGATCAGTGTGTTCTCCGGAGTGGCAGTGCTGGGCAAAGCAACAATGCATTTCAACATCATCATATCTGTGCTCACATTCCTGTGCAATCTTAAAAAAAACCTTCTCCCTATTTTTCTAATAAAACGGCACATTGATCTGTATTGTTTATTTGAATTATAGGGAAGAGCTTAAATAAAATGTAGTAACCAAATATAAGTTACTTCATTTTTAATTCATCCAGAGAAGCAAATATGATGCATTTACACTACGTGTACACATAATGACCTCCAAGTTGCAGACTGCATGTACATCTAATAGTCAAGTATTACAGCCACCGAAGAAACGAAAGCTGTAGCTAAAGTTGCAGGTAAACTTAGATGATAACCCCTGATTTCATTCATTATATCTAGAAAATATTCTCATTTGCCTCTGAAACTTTGCATCCTTGGTACCAGCCCAAAGATAATTTTTTGTGTGCATCCCTGACTGCCTATGGGTAACAGCTCCAACCACTCCCATGCCAGACACATTCCTCCTACAGCCAGTTTGCAAAGGGGTCTTCAGGAGACAATCTATAGCTGTCTTCCTCTCCCCTGAGCTGTAGGACTTCTCCCCATCAGGTCCAGGGCTTTTAGAACCCCTTTATGCTGCTCAGTCCCATGGACTTGTACTATAGAAGCAGGGGTGGGGATGATGACATAAGCTCTATTAAAAATTTAAAAAAGGGGGAAAAAACCCAGGAATATTTCAGATGCACAAAATAGGAAAAACAGAAATAAAGAAAGAGGTTTTACTTTTTTATTGAAAATGTAAAAATCATGTGAATCATGTACAATATTTTCTCATAAGGAAAATTTTAGTTGTTTTAAAATGTTTCACAAAATTGTAAAACTTTTTTTGTATAAAGACTTTCATAAAACAAAGATGAAACTAAAGCAGTATCACAAAGCTATCTTCTAAGTCATCAACAAAGAACTGGAAAATGTTTAACAGATTACGCATACAAATGGCAGGAACAAGGACTCTTCCATTTGTACAACTGCAAAGAGGACAGACAAAGGCATAAAGAGGCATGGGTCTTTTGCTGAAAACATTTAAAATCAAGTGACATGTTAAAACAGTACAGACGTGGTTTCATAGGATGGTACAAATTCTAGAACTTGTGTTTCTCTAAACTACCTCAAACAGTGCAACAGTGAGTGATTCAGTGTAAATCTCTACAGTGTTTCATTGATTCAATACTTGTGTTCAAGTATGTGTTCATGAGCACAATCAAAATCTCTAGTTCGCTATTTTGATTTTTTTTGTTTATCACAGGTTATATGTTACAGTAGATTCTCTCCTACAGTATGTCTCTAACCCAAAGAGAAACTGATTTCACAATACATTCTGTAATAACCTGTTCAACAATGTTAGCTTAGACACCTCAACATCTGTTGCAAAATAAACAAGGTCATTCTGACTCTGAATGCCAAAAAATTAAAATAAAAAACTTTGGCTTTATTTCCAAATACAGCAAAACTATTCAGCTAAATTAAAATAAATTCAAGATAACATGAGGGTTTTTCTTGGCAACAGAGAGATGATCCTACCGAACATAAACATTTAAAATACTATTTTTTAAAAAATTCTGATATATGTATCCAAAACTGTTCATATAAAAATTATGAAAACCTCAGAGAATAAAACACAAAGGCCATCTAACCAAAACAAGAAAGCATGTCTGGCAGGCAAAAATAAATTAATTTGATTAAATTATATGTAATCTGATAATATTTGGTCTGAAAAAGCGTGTGTGTGTGTGTGTGTGTGTATAAATAATGAGATTGCAAAGAGCTGAGAGCCAGCCAGCCTGACAGAGGTCAACTCTTTTGTTGCATTTTTTGCGCATAAAAGTCCCTGCATGTCTCACAGCAGCGTTGATACCACCTCATGTCCTGACAGAGGTTCTTCTCTCGTATCACTCTGCAGTATACAGGCCACTGGTCTCCCAGGCACTTGAATGTTAAAGCAGCTGTGAAACAACAAACAAAAAACACAACTATATATCTATACACTCAAATAGTTCATTTGATACCTAAGGCAGAGTATAATGTTCATTCATTCTATTATTACCTATTACTAAATTTGTTAGTAAGCAATCAGATAGTAGAGATGTCCTTAAGGGTGTCTAAAGACTTCTGACACAACCAACCTCCCTGCTAGTGACTCCATTGGGTCAGGAACCAGGAGGTGGACTGAGTGAAAGCAAAGGCAGGAGTAACTGATAAGGAAGTGGCCAGCAAGCATGGAAAGAGGGCACTGGGGCACTTTTGAGGGAGGCAGCAGAGAGGAAAGGAAGCTGGGAGGGCACTGGAGCTGTGTCGGTGGGAAGGAATGGGTGGGGTGAAACTTGTTTATTTTTCAACAGAGGAAAAGAATCCTATCTTGGTGACACGCTGCCAATATTTTAACAATTAGAATTTTTGAGGGCCCAGCTAAGTAGACCCAACAGCCTCCCTGTCATGAATGCCATACACTTACAAGACGGCACAATTTCAAGATAATAATTGCAAAATCGTAAATAAAGCAAATACCTTTTATCTAGAAAAATGGACACTGCAATACATTAGTAATGACTATCCACAGAGAGAGAGAGAGAGAGAGAGAGAGATATTTCAGGAATAGGATGGTATACTTGGCCAGACATGATCATATCATATCTTAATTACTACAATCTCCTCCTCTCTGGCTTGGACAACTGCAACCTTATCCCCTCAAGTCCATTCAAAATGATGTTGCTAAGATTATTTTCCTGCTCATCACTCTGATAATACCACCCTCTTTGAGTCCCCCCTTCCCTAATATGTCAAACACAAGCTTCTCTTCTTTACCTTTAAGACCCTTCATGGCTTAGCTCTTCCATTAAAACATTATGGCGCTGACTACTGTCTTCACTGTGACAATGTTCCCACCATTCAAAACCATTCTACCTCAAAAATCTTTGCACGTACTCCCTCACAACTGCTTATGAATGCCTCGTTAATATCTAAAAAGCCGCTAACTTATTCTCCTTAAAAATCCTTCCTTAAGACTCATCACTCCATGATGCGTACACAACTCTGTCAGCTGACAATGGTCAGGCAGATGGTGAGCTCTGAGTACTGCTTACCATACAAAACATGCTCAAAGCACTGTAGCCTCACCTACCCTTCCTCCTCTCTTGTTTGTTCTGTCCACCTGTTCCATCCAGCATGTCATAACCAAAACTGTAAGCTCTGTGGGGCAGGATCTGACCTTTTACTTCACATCTGTATAGTGCCTAATATAATGAGACCCTGATCCCTAACTGGGGCCTATAGTGTGATAGCCACTTACTTGAGCACAACCTCAAGGTCAGGGGCCACTTTGCAGGCCCTCCCACCCCTCAGGGTCCTAGAGCCCAGGCTGCAGCCTGAGCCCAGAAATATACACAGCAATGAAACAGCCCCACAGCCAGAGGCTATGAGCCCGAGCTGGTGGGCATGGGCCAGTTGCAGGTTTTTCTTTGTTGTATTAGGGTGACCAGATGTCCCGAGAAAATCGGGATCGTCTCGATATTTCAGTGTCTGTTCCGCGTCCCGACCGATCTTTGGTCAGGATGCAATTTGTCCCAATATCTGCCGGCAGCACCGGGTTTTGGTTTTTTTTTTTTGCTCAGCCGGCAGGACTCGGCTTTTTTGAGTAGATCAGAAGATGTAGCATTGATTCTTGTAATATCAAAGTCAAGGGCTCATTCCACCAGATGCATAGAGACAATGCTTGCCTTGAGTAGATCTGCCATTTGGGCTTCCAGTCATATTGTTACTAGGCAGTATAGGAACCCATGCTTCTTCAGATATAGCTTTTGATATCTGTTCTGGTTTCTGTTTTCCTTCCCCCCTCTCCTCCGCCCCAGCAATGGAAGGAGAGCTCCATGGATCTTATCTAATTTGAGCCTAACCTTGTCACCTCAAGGAATACCTAATTTAGTGTTTCTTTGGACTATGTCCATCTGTAATGCCTCACTAACTGTTTTTCTATTCTAATGTTATTTGCACATTTAATTATATATTTGTATTTTAATAGTGCGGTGGCCCTGTAACAGGGTGGCTTGCTCCTTAAGGGCTGGAAGGCTGAGGCTAGCCAACTCTCGTTACTAAAGAGGCACACCTGGGCTGGACCAGGGAATTCCTCATAAATAGCATCAGGAAGCTGCAGGGTGTGGCTAACAGAATGAAGC